TTTCGGTGTGCATTGATAAGACATATTTGGAACCCTTCGTTACGGCTTCGGGTTTATTAATAGTAATGAGGCTATTGCTTTGACTATTATATATTGTACTGAGTACTATCTACGCTTTGAGTCAAGTTCTTTAACAATTTTAAAAATGACTTAAGCACCAAAAACTATAAAACACAAAAAAACCACCGTCATCATTAAGTTCTGTAAACCTATCATTCACTAATATTCGTGGTTTTCAAAGTAACTTTATTTCTGTTGAGTCTTATTTCTTGAAAAGTTCACCAGACCTACATGTTCTTTGTGAGACAAATTTGAGTTCAGCTATCTCATTTTGTGATCTTAGTATTGATGGTTATCTTCCTTTAACTTGTAAAAACTCCAATAGCCACATGCCTGGCCTGGGCATTTACATTCGTAAGAATTCACCCATTTGTCAGGAAACTAGGTTTGAATACACAGACTGTTCTTTTATGTGCTTTCGTTTAGCGCCGCTTTACTCTGCTGCCTTTCTCTTTGTTCTATATTGCTCTCCTTCATCTCAAGACTGCACTCTTTTTGATGTTATTTTTTATTAAATTTATCAAGACCTTTCTTTTTATCCTTCAGCCAGTTGGTGACTTTAATACTCATCACACTAAATAGTTTGGTTCAGGTGTCAGTGACTCTGCAGATGTTAAAGTCTACAACAAGCGTCAAGGCCTGTCAACTTTCCAAATTGCTTTCTAGACAGTCCGAATCATTTAGCTTCTCTACTTGACCTATTGTCTTTTTTTGATCCTAGTTCGTGCTCAGTTTTTCCACATTCAGCCATAGGTGCTACTGACTACAATTTAATCTAACTATTATCTCATTTTTCTACATCATCAGAATCCCCCTATCATTGCACTTCTTACAATTACATTTAAGCTGACTGGAACTCTTACTGTGATTTTCTTCGTGATGCTCCTTGGATGTAAATCTTTCGTCTTTGCACTATATAGGATGATTACTATCTGACTAAATGCTCCAGGCTGTAACCAGTGTACACCATGAGGTGGTTTATCTCCTAGAAGTATCATTATCAACTCGATACAATCCCGATTAACTTAGTGTCTGTAGTTATACACTCTATTTTACATTATTTATTCTAAATCTTTCGAAAATATTGATAAAACAATAATAGGTCTATAGTTGCTTATAGTTAGCCCTGTCACTTTCTTTAAAAGCTGTGTAATTTTTGCGATTTTCAACTGATCAGAAAAAATTCCGTAAGTTATTGATGTTTTGAAAACTTTATAGAGAATATCTGTTAGCTGTTCAAAATAGTCTATAACTATATTAACGTTTATGCTATCGGCATTACTTGCTTTATTTTTCTTTTAAAGATTTGAAGGCTTTTTCAAACTCTTCAAAAGATAATTCCAAAGACAATTCATTAAAATTAAAGGAATCATTAATTGGTACTAGAAAATCACTAAAACAGCTTGTGTGTTTGGAACTTTTGTTGCCAATATAGGGCCAATGACCAGTTCAGGACATTTCTGCTTAAGCTTTGATAAAGTTTGATCATAGGTTTATATAAATTAGTTTGATTGATTGTTTTTTCAATAAATGGAAAATTGGCACCGTAGATAAAATACAATGTGCTTAAAAAATTGTTGTAAATAGAGTTAGTGTAGTCATTAAAATTTACATGTTTCCAATGAAGTAGTGATAATTGTTCTTTAAATTGGTTAACGTTGGTCTATTTAAAAGAAAGTTGTCTAAATGTGGCTTAATTTAATCTGTTTTAAAAAAAATTTAATGTTGAGGACTTGCAGTTAAATGTTAAAAATAATGGTCAGAAATGTCAGTTTTCAAAATACCTTTTTGTATATCATTATAAGGATATTGGTTGTAATGATATTTTCGATAGGAGTAGCTGTATTACTTGTAAAAGCATTTATGTTAAAATCTCCTAAATCAATGTTTTATCTTTTTTACTTTTGTGCTTTTTTGAAGATATTTTGTTCTAAAAATCTGCTCAAGTTCTTGCTCACGCCACCAGGTGGTCGATAATAAGAGAACATTTTTTGTTTGATTGTTAACCATTTCAGTAGTTAAAATTTCTTTTTTCATCGTCAGAAACATTCCTAATGTAATGCGCTATATTCTTCTTCACGTAGATAAAAATTTCACCACCATGTTTATTTATTTGTCTCTCTTGAGTTATTTATTTAAAATAAGTATATATTTAAAGAAAAGAATTTTAAAATTTGAATTATTTTTCAAAATGTTCGTGGTTATCCATGTTTCAGTTAAACAAATAGTGTTAAAAATATTTTAGTTAAGCTTCTGGTTGCTGCAAAATGCACTTCTAAGGAACGTCTTCTTTATATAGATAATATTTAAATAAAAAGAGTAATGTCTAATTATTATAGACAACGAAGCGTTTAAGAAAACTTACTTTTACTCAGCTATCTTTTATACATAGTTAAATTGATTGTGCTAGTATTGCTTATGTAAACTTTACCATCATTTGAATGTTGTTAAATGTTGCTTTGTCATTGGCTGTTTGTTATTTACTTTTTCCGTTTTTATATACGACTTTTTTTAGCTGTTCTTGATCACAAAGCCAGGTGATCCTCTGCGATTGTTTGAGTTTTTATTTTATTTTATACAGTAGACTTATATTATTTAAACTTTTCTTTTAACTTATACTATTGTAATACAAATTAATATACTTTTGAAATAGCAATTAAGCCAGGCTTCCCAGTAAGCAGACGGTAATTGTCCCAGTAATTGACCCAATGGCGAACCAGTTTTGGCTGTCGTTCCGTACCTAGTTTGACATACCGGTGCTGTGCCAGCGCTGGATTGCCAATTGTTTTTTCAATGGACCGGGATTATAAAGATTGCATAATAGTAATAATTAAATAACAGTAAACTTAAAAAAAAACGTGTTATAATATAAATCAGATATAATTCTGCAAGAATTGGTCAGAGTTTACTAAGTAATCTTTCGCAAGTTTCTCACTGTTCAACAGTAACAACTAGGAGTATTGTTGCTTACGAATAACCGTATTAAGTAAATGAACGTTAAACATATCGTTTGATAACAAATGTCTTAGGCATTTATATTGTGTTGTGTATAAGAGAGCCGTGTTATATAATGTAAAACACCGGATTGTAATTAAGACTTATATTATCAAAAAACTTTTATTAATGAGTTATTCTTTCAATCAATCATGAGTATAACTAAAACAAGTAAAACTAAAAACGAGTTTTTAAAACCCAATTCTTTCATGTGTTTTTAAAACACAAATTTTGCAATCAATTTTTTCTAATAATAATTTTATCTACTATTTTATTTTATTAAGTCATTGCGGTTAAATTTATTTTTTATGAATATGCTAATCGCATATAAAAATTATTATTCTCTTCTCATACAAAAAATAAACTTAATTAAAATTAACTAAATTAGTTGACTTATTGCAAAACTAATTATTGAATATTGTATTGTCATCAAGCAAAATGTATGTATGCAAAATTTGAAGAAAGTCTATTATCAGGAAGTGACTCAAAGAATGATTACAAGATTTGATATTAACAGACAAAGAGATAGAGACGAGGAGTAAATAAGAGCCTGAGGAAAAAAACCCGGCAAACCTATTAGTAGTCATATCAGGTAAAACATTGTTTGCTACATTAACATTGCTAGATTTCACATTTTAAAAAGCATAACAATTTATGGTTTTTAAAATGTGAAACCAGTTGTCGTCAACTTTTCTGTTTATCAAACAAATAAAAACTTTTACTAAACTTTATTGCACAAATATTAAATTACTTGAATTTTAAGTTACAAATTTTAAGATACAACCGTTTATAAATTTTTAGATATAACTTAAATACAACGCCAAAAAAAAATATATATATACTTTTAAGTTAAAAGTCAGAAATAAAGTAATTGACTAAATATACAAATTTGTAACATTTAATTGTTGAAATGATCACTTATCTTAGTCTTCGTAAAATGTGAGGCTCTAACTAATTGGATGGTATGCGTTCCGTATTATAACACCTTTGTTTGCAAGTATTGCATGTTAGCTTTGGTTTCTGACAATAAAATGAAGTGCCAGAAAAATAGCTGTGGGGATATAAGTAGTCATATTAAGTGAAACATTTTGTTTGTTAATATATATGTTAAATAGTAGAGTAGACAGAACACCTCCTAGACGTACTCCACTTCTAGTAGCAAACGAGCCGGGTAAAAAACTGAATCATATGACTTGCTGTTTGACCAGCATGCAGCATAAAAAATAAAAAACAAAATAGAAATTAAAAAAGAGACCGAGTTTTATCTATTACAATTGAAAAAACCTTTAAAGATTTTGGGTCACTAAACAATGTTTTTTCTTTTATTTTTTATTGAGAGAGGGGGGGACCCACTTGCCGCGGACCCACTTGCCGCGGCACTGATTTTATTAAAGAATATTTTGATAAATTTAATTTAAGAATATAAATTTAAGTTTATATTTATGAATATAAATTTAAGTGTAATAAATTAATAAATTACATTATTTATTATATATTACACTTAAATTTATATTCTATATTATATTTAAATTTATATTGCATAATATATTAAAGATACAAAAAAGCGTTCCTATAATTCCGATTTAGATTGTTTCTAATTGATTTAATCGTTAATTGTAATTATTAAACTTATTTTAAGAAAGTAAGTAAATAATTATTGTAAAAAAGTTAGTTTTACAATAATATCAGGATGAAAGCTATTTTTGCCGTCTTTACCGTAACCGTCTTTAGTGTAACTCATTAAATTGGTTCAGGGTACACTTGATTAATTTATCTCAGAATGACTAATGCTGTCGCAAATACGTTTAAGACTAATGTTTTTTTAATTTTATAATTAAATATTAATTTTTTTAAAAAAGTGGACGAACCGCTGTGATAGAGATGTTTAAAAAAATGTTCCAATAAAATGTATCAAAAACCTTATAGTTAATACAAATCCAATTGTAATTTAGTTGGTTACTTATAGATATTAAAATATAAATAATAATAATATATAATCACACAGATCAAAAAAAATAAAAGATTTATAATGGGTAGAACTTATAATGAAGAATTGGAATACATAGAAAAAATCACACCAAACTCATACAAAATAAAAAAAGGTTTTGTACCTAATATGAATGTAAGATATTTTTTATCTATATAGTTTATATATATATATATATATATATATATATATATATATATATATATATATATATATATATATATATATATATATATATATATATATATATACATATATATATATATATATATATATATATATATATATATATATATATATATATATATATATATGTATGTATATATATATATATATATATATATATATATATATATATGTATATATATATATATGTATATATATATATATGTATATATATATATATATATATATATATATATATATATATATATATATATATATATGTATATATATATATATATATACATATATATATATATATATATATATATATATATATATATATATATATATATATATATATATGTATATATATATATATGTATATATATATATATATATATATATATATTATATATAATTACCTGATATATATATTAAAATTTATTTATATTAATAAAATTTTTTCTTAAAAATAAATTATGATTGTACTTCTTATTGATATGTGTGTTACATTAGATGCATTTTATAATAGGTTGAAGGGATATTTTATATTAATCAACATCTTGAAAAGCTAATGTTTGATGAGTTAAGACAGTTTGCTAATTTTGGAGGTATAAAATTATCAACAAAAAAAATTATGAATTTTTAAGGTTAGTGAGTGTTGTAATGAATAAAGTTTAAATTTCTAGGTGTCGGTGGATTTCTTCCTGGGATGAAACAGATTGCAAATGTTGCTGCACTCCCTGGAATTGTTCATGTAATTTATCTTTAATAATAATTAAAGGATTTAAAATGTATACTAGGTGTATAAATGTTATTTTTTTAGAAGCTTCATGTATTTTTTCTAGATTTTATTTGTGTGTGTGTTTTTTAAATATATTTTCTTATTTCTTTTTATTTATTTTCAATAAAAGCTGAACAACATTAAAATTGATTGCAATTTGCCCAAATGTATTTTTTATTAGTATATAAATATCCTACTCACTGCTTAAGTTATTTATATATACTATACATATCAAAATAATAAGAGCATATTCTTGATAGTGCATATTGGATTTTTTTTTTTTGCATGAATATCTCTTCTAAAAGTGTCAAGTTTTAGTTCTTTTAATGTATTATGTAATATGTAATGTGCATGTGTGTCAAGAAGCATAAATGCAACATATATGCAAAAAATATAAATCATTTTTAATGATTTCTATTTTTTAAATGTTGGAACAGTGGTAATCAAAATTTATTTTTAAAAGCAATTAAAATTTATTTACATCTTACTGTAGAGATCTGTTGGCTTACCTGATATTCACTCTGGCTATGGTTTTGCTATTGGTATTTTTTTTAAATTATAATTTGAATAGCTTTAATTGTTTTATTAACAATCAATAATTATATTTGATACCAATAAAGTAGTTTTTATAAAGGTAATATGGCAGCATTTGATGTTAATGACCCATTATCAATAGTTTCACCGGGAGGTGTTGGTTTTGATATTAACTGTGGTGTACGTTTAATAAGAACAAATCTTAATGTTAAAGATGTTGAGCCTTTCAAAGAACAAATTGTTCAGGTAAAATAGTTTATATGCATAAAAAGGGCATCATCAATACCATATCATTTTTTTTTAACTATGATATATTTAACCCAGCAAGGGTTAAATAATCTATCTTTAACCTTTGCTGAGTCTCATATATAATTAAAAGTATTTTGTCACAAAAATTAAACTTAGTCTTTAACAGACTTGTATTGTTGTTTAAAAAAAAATTAGTCTTAATAAAATTGAATGTTTTAGATTTTATTGCAGGAAAGCTATTTAAGTGAATAAATTGATATGACAACTGTGAATTAAAACTTGTAAAATTTTTGCTTTTATTGTTGTATTAATGTGATTATTATGTAAAAGAATAGAATATTATATAATAGAATATTATGTAAAATGCTAGAATAATCTTTTATGTTAAGTGGTTTGTAATTTAAGTGGTTTTTTAGTTGATATTTGTTGTAAATATTTTATATGGTTTATGTGGTTTAGTGGTAGAGCATTCGCTTCATAAGCCAAGAAATTTCGACTTCCATGCCCACCATATCCCTGTATGGCTTAACTTGTTTCTTCAAATAACAGCCTTGTTTTTTGAGGTTTGTGTTTTGGAGTTACAGAATTGAGTGTGGGGTGTGACCACATTTAAAGTAGTCTTCTTGACTATAGTGGCCTGCTCAGCCCTGGGGAGGTAAATTAACATAAAAAAATTAATAATTATTGCCTAAAATTTTTAATAGTAATAGTTTTTTAACCCAAATAATCCATTTTGTAGGTGCTTTTGACTGGCTTTAAAAAATTTGTATAGAAATTTTTTTGGAAACTTTAATGTGCTGCAGTTCAATACCTATAGACTTATAGTACCAAATTTTTTTACTTTTGTGTACTTAGAGTAACCACTTGTGGTAAAATTTAAAATTATATGTTAAAAGTTAGTTTAACACTTGCAGTAGTCTGTTTAAATGTTACTTTTTTTAATAAAATATTATAAATTATTTTGCTGGCATAGAAAATAGCGTAAGCAGTTGAAATAAATTATGAAACTTTTCACTTAGGAGATTCTATATATAGACAATCTCTGATTTACATAACTCATAATGGTGTCATAATCATTATTAGCAAGATTGTAGTCACAAGCACTTCTACCCTTAATGGGTGAAGCATTTATTTGACATATTACTTTGCTAAATGGAACCCAACACTGACTTGATTCTGCATCATTAGTCCATTTCAAAATTTAATTTGTTTCTATGCATGAATTTTGCATTAACATCTTTATTTTCATTACAAATCTCAAGCACAAGCTCTATTATCATTTGTCATCATAAAAACATGCAATGTATTTACCCGGTTGAAAATTTGACTGATCTTATTTTGACAAGGTATTATTATTTAGCAAATTGTTATCATAGACAGTATCACTAGAGATTTTCCATAAAAATATTTTCTTTCAACCGGGTACAAAAATGTGCTCATCTCTTATCATTTTTTTAGGTTAAAATAAGTATCGTGGTTCTTAATATCATCACTTGAAATGTAAAATATATTAACACCTTTAATGTTTTTTCCAGCCCATTTAAACAGTTTGGTTGGTGTGAAAATCTGGTTTGCATTTACTGCTTGTAGACTCACTTTTGTTGCTTCTCTTTTAATAGCTCCTACTATTCCATCACATGGAGTTTTGCCATGGGGTGTAGCAAAGAAGTGATGCTCAGCATTTATATTGTGATCTTCAAGATGGTACATTAAGTTTAACTGACATTCGAATTTTTATACTGTGACACAGCACCGTTACCGAAGTATTTCATTGATTGTGGTTAGTTTGATATTGATCATAGTTTCACTTTATGAGAAAACAATGAACTGTTGTTAGGTCATGGTGAAGATGGTCAGAAATTATATGATAGCATTCACATTCGAGTTGATTTTTTTCATCTTGGTAATAAACAGCAAATGTATGTAAGGTAGCATGATTGGCTTGCTAGTAAAATCCTTTTGCAGTATCTTGCACAAGCAAACCATAGTTCTCTGCAAAATCCATAAGAATTTAACAGGTGTGTTGATTTATTGTAATTTTTGTCTCTGATAAGTAGGAAGATTGTGCTTCTTTAATTAAGGGATTGTTCATAAATTACGTCACGCTTAGGGGAAGACTTTCTTTTAATTAAAAGAGTATCTGACTAAACCAAAACCCTCAGTTGATGTACATGTTGACTGTAAAATCAACTATGTCTAAATCTTACTTAGTCTATGTACACTCCGTTAACGGAATAGTTACAGCCTGTTAAGGGACTGTTACGGCAATATATGCAGTGCATGTTCTGCGCTTTGAATATATATGGTTCAAGTGCAGAGCTTTATTTAGTTGGTGCACAAAAGTGTGCAGCAACAAAAAAAAACAATATTTGTAGCATAGTTTATTTCAACTGTTTACGCTACTTTTCTATGCCAGCAAAGTGAATGTAATTTATCATATTTTTTTAATAAAGTGATATTTTAACAAGCTGCTGCAAGTGTTATATTAACTTTTAATGCATTATTTTGATTTTTACTATACGTGGTTACCTAAGTACATAAAAGTAACAAAAAATGAGTACAGCTTCTCTGTTGGTATTTAGGTAGGTATTAGGTAGAAAGGTCAAGTTTCCAAAATTTTTTCAAATATTACGTTATTTAGCAATTTTGAGGTACGAGAACTCAATTGTTTAAAATCAGTCAAAAACACCTGTAAAATGAAATTATTTGGTTGAAAAACTATTACTGTACAAAATTATTTGGTTGAAAAACTATTACTGTACAAAATTATTTGGTTGAAAAACTATTATTAATGTATAACTATTATTTTTTATTTAAAAAGTTATGATCTGTTAAAAATTAAAAAAAACTGTAAGATTGTACTCCAGATACTCAAAAAATCTACTGTAAGCTCCAGATACTCAAAATTTTTCAATTTTGATCATATTAGTTCAATTATAACTTTTGAAAAGTTTATGAAATAACCCAAAAGTTTAAAAGTGTTGCAGATATTTCATAGTAGTATGCAGGTGTTTATAAGTGTGGTGTTAGAGTATGGTTTTAATTGATTGTTCCGGTTAAGAATTATTTTGTTGAACAAAAATATTTTTTATATTTTTTTATTCTGATATTTTTCTAAATCATTTTAACTTTATTTACTATTTTTAGTCTCTGTTTGACCACATACCTGTTGGCGTTGGATCTAAAGGAATAATTCCAATGGGTGCCAAGTAAGCTAAAAATTTCAATAAGTTATGAAAAAGTTTTAACAAGTTATTATTTTAATGTGATAGTTAATTTTAAAAATAATTTGATATTTATTAAGTTATAATATAATATCAAAAAGTTTTCAATCAATACTATTACTATTTTCTTTAGCTTTGTGCTTTTGATTATAACCTGGGGCACTTGAAGGTTTAATCATTTCAGTGATATATTAAATTTGTACAACACACTATATATGTATGTGTGTGCTTGTGTGTGTTTGTGTGTGTGTTGGAAAATCAGTTTTTTGAAAACTGTGTTTTGTTATTGCTTCTGATGATAATTATAATGTAAACAATTAAATGTAATTAAATGTAAATACATCTTTCACGGCTTACTAAGACTCAATGTTACTAAGATACACTCAATGTTACTAAGATACACTCAATGTTTTAATTGCTGAAAAGTATTTTCTTGCTTTTATCTAATGTAAAGTGGTGTAACAATTAAACATCAATTTAAAATATTTTTTTTCGTGATGTGACAAAATAATTTTGATATGTGTTTACCAATGATATTGCTTCTAAAATTAATTAAAAAAATACAAACTTAATTATTCATGTAATATTATTGATAGATAATTGATTTTGTTATTGCCGTGTAACTGTCAATATTACCCTTTATATTAGGTAACATTTGCCTTTAGCAAATTTTATTTTGTAAATAGTAAGTTACATTATGCGGGGTGAAATTATCATTGTAGTTTTGACAAACAAAACAGAGAAAAAAATTATGTTTTTTATTCATGTTTATTTTATAATACTATACTAAACTGCACTATTATTATTATACTAGCAGTAAGCAACCCGTAATACGGGTTATTAGTAATTAAATCATTGCTTATAGTTAACAACAAAAAAAGACTACATTAACATCAGTTAGGTTCTTTTTAAAATCTGTTACAACACAGCAGGTACCATAAAAAGAAAGTCAAGTAAAGCCTTCCAATGCCTAAAAAAAGAAATAAAAAATAATTACAAAAGTATTTTGTAATTATTTATAATTACAAGATACTTAATTATAATTATGTATAATTACAAAAGTAATGCATTTTATTGCTAGTAGAATTAAGATATTAAGGCTTAAAAAAATTGCTGTAACAGCCAAGTTCTATTAACACAAAACACAGTAACAATAGCGCGTAGCATAAGATATTTGTAAGCACACATTACTATGTCTCTTCATAATAATAAAAAAAGAAAAGATTATGGAAAGACTAGACAACTTAATGTAGTAAATAGGTATAACACCACAAATTAATTAGATATTTTATCAACAAAAATACTTGAACTGAAAAGATTTTAATAATTACAATATTGAACAATTATATCATAAAATAGCAAGCAGCTCATAAAATATTTTATATACATGGTCATTATCAATTGTGGTATTAAGAAACACATAAGAGCTCAGTAATTATATAAGTTTTATTGATGCTCCATGTACTAATTCTCATTTAACTCTCAACTAAGAGTAAACAAAATTATTTTTACCTTTATTATGTAAAGTTCCAGCTTCTCTTTAACTGTTGACTAATGATTAATAGAGTAAATTTCATATCATTAAATTTACAAAATTAAAACCATGTTTCAACAGAAAGAAAACAAGTCAAATGATAACATAGGCAACTAAAAAAAAACATAGTTATGTTTGAATTTATGAAAAAATTTAAAATCATTTAAATTTAAAGCTATTTAAATTTAAATTGCTCTAAGGTGTTAAAAGTAAAATCAAATAAACAGACATTAACACGGCTTGACATTTCTTTCATTTCAACAACAACTAATTTTATCTTGCCTAGCTCTATCTCTTTTATTTGGACAATGATTATTTTCGCCTATTAGCATTTAAACAAATAAATTCTTTGCTTTTATTATTAAGTTATTAGCCATTTCAATTTCACTGTATTCTTTAAACATACCAGTAATATTACTATTGTTACAACTGAATAATAATAAAATGCAAAAGAATCTTACAAACTGTGTAAGAATTCTAACCAATGACTATATTTTAACTTTAGATTAATTAAAATATCTTTTATCTTTTTTTAAATTTATATATATAAGTTGTTTATCAAAAATATGAAAAATATTTATTTACATCAATAAATTGTAATTTAACAAAGAATCTAGACTACAATACACAATCTAAAAGTGTAAAAAATGAAGTAATATCATTCAGTATATTTTACTCCAAAGTAATAAAAAAAAATAAAGGAGTTCAAGAGAATATGTAAATTATTATTTTCTAAGAGAAAATCTTTATATACAGAGAAATATAAAATATACTGAGATATAGGCACATTTATGTAAATAAACTTATTTGTTAACAAATTACAGACAATTGCTCTAAAAAATAAATAAACTTATTTGTCAACAAATTACAGACAATTGCTCTAAAAAATAGATTTCAGCTATTTCCAATTGCACTAAAATATAAAAAAAAATATGTTTTACTAAGTTGCTTGGAGTTCAAAAATCTGAAAACAGATAAGTAAAAAACCTAGAACAAACATTTTTTTACTAAAACTACTATATTTAAACAAATTAAATTAAATAAAGCTCTAAGACTTCCTACAGCAAAACTATTGGCAAAACTATCACTTTCATTTCTGCGTCGATTTTTTATAACTTGCCTAACTACACTCTCCTCATTTCAGTTCAAAGTACAAGCAGCATATCTAGCATTTTGTAGATTATTAATTTTATCTTACCTGAGCCTGATCTCTTTCATTTCTGCAGCAATTAATTTACCTATTAACATTTCCATTTTTTATACTAATATCTGCTTCTAGCCTCATCTTAAACTTATCATCTTAAACTTCACTTTGAATTTAAAAAATTAACAAAAAATCTTAAAAGAATCTTGAAGATTGTGATCTTTTCTATATATTTTTTACTCTAAATAGCTAACACAAATAATTCTTAAATGTCATTTAAAATAAATTATACGATAATCTTATGAATTATAAGACAAACATATTAGTTAAAATTTTTTTATTTAGACAAATAAATTAATCTAAATAAATAAATTAGCAAATAATTCTAATAATGAACATACTGCTAATACAGAAAAATAAAAATAAAAAAACAAATATTGTAAACCCTTTTTAGCAAACTTCAATTTTAACTCTTTGAAAAAATTATTAAAAAATTCACATAACTTAACAATATTTTCTTCTATACCACATAAATACATCATTTGATCAATCTAAAATAAAAAATGTAACAAATAAGTAAATAAATAAGAAAAACATTACATACAAAAAACAGAACTTGTTGTATCTGATAGAGAAAAGCTATTGTGATTTACCAGAGTAGCAGTAGTAGGCTTTTAGTGAATATATATATATATATATATATATATATATATATATATATATATATATATATATATATATATATATATATATATATATATATATATATATATATATATATAATACAGAAGAGTAGGCTTTTAGTGAATGATTAAAAGCAGCCAGGTCTAATAATAAAATTACCTATTTATCATTTTTAACAATAGACAACAACTTGAAGGTAAGCCAAATATATATTAACTCAAAAGATTACAAAAAAACAACATCACAACAACAATAGCATTCACCATAAGTTAATATAATATGCATATAACATAACTTAAAAAACATAATATTCATATGTAACAGAACATGAGTAACAACATTATGCAAAATGTTATTAAAATATATAACTATGTATTTTCAGAGTAATTAATAATAAAGGCTTGAAAACACCTAGACCTAAAGCAGTAACAGTTTGACGCTAAACACTACTGTGTAACCCTCTGCATTAACTACATGACTTGGCTGGCAAGATTAACA